AGTTTGGAATCGCTCTTAGGTTGGAGGCCATCGCTAGTAGGTTGGAGCTCATCGCTGCTATAGGTTGGAGGACATCGCTCTTAGGTTGGAGGCCCTTGCTAGTAGGTTGGACCGTCTCAAACTTTTTGGAAGGTCTCGATGCCTAGGAACTATACTAAATGTAGTTGAGCGCGGCTGACCAAGTTGGCTCAAGAATTTGCATCGACCAAAAATTTCTCACAGTTTCGCATGACGCAATCTATGCGTAGTGTCCTTTGGACATTTGTGGATTTTTGCCTCAGGTATATTGGACCTGGGAAAGATTGTGAATGCAACTTGGACAGTGCTTGCAAGTTTCATCAAGAGATGCACCATGTTCTCCCGGCATGGAGCATTGACAACATGCACTGTCAACGCACTGCAGTGAAGTTCAAATCTACCTCTTACCAACCAAGGCGACTTCATAGCGTTTCATTTCATTGGTCCAAAGTAGCAGTTCATCTACAAGCTTAAGGTTATCATATATGTTGTTGTTTCTCCAATTCTTAAGTATTTGATGCTTTCGTATTCGCCAGCTGTAGCTATATACAGTTACAGAAAAAAGGTGAAGAAGGTTTCTGTGTGCAATCTCTCAGATGGCCTGAGACCTTTCCCGCCTACATCTACATCACAACTGGGGAGATCTTCCCTCAAGTGGGGAACCTAAAGCTCCAGGGCGGAGCAGTACCAGGCTCCTCGTTCGCACTGCTGTCAGCAGAGAGACTCCTTCCTTGGTGACCTGGAATCCTCATAAATGCCAGTGCGTTCACGTGCCGCGTGCTGGCGTGCTGGCGTGCTCCTGCGGCCAGTCAGGTTACAAGGTGGAGTTGGTGTCACCATCTGGCTCCTGCGATGGTGTGCAGTTATGCATCTTGGAATCAAGTTCGTTGGACCTGAGTCCTTCTTGCACTCAGCTAGAAGCTACTAGTAACAAGGGCATCGCTACTAGTAACAAGAGCATTACTACTAGTGGCTAGAAGCTACCAGTAGCAAGGTGCCTTACTAGTAGTAACAAGGGCACTACTAGTAGATTTCGAGCGCGGCCCGAGAATGTCATTTGCGGTCGATTTCTGCACAAGCAAACGTGAAGGATGGTGGAACCTTTCGCCCGGCAGAAATGCCACCTTTCGCTTGGACTGTGGGCATCACTGCTCTTATGGGAAGTGAGGTCAAAGCATCACTTGGATCAACGACACCTATTTGCAATGCGAAGTGGAGCCCTGCTTGGATATCACCTGCTTGCCGCGAGAGCCGAATGTGAAGCTTTATTTGGGAGCCTCTTGACCTTTCATTGGGAAATCGTTGCGTTTTCAAGAAATAGGTTGGAGGCCATCGCTCTTAACAGCGAAGTTACAGTAATAGAACATCTTAGAATCTTAGAACTATGTCAACTAAATGTTCAGTCACGCACTGCCAATTCGACACTGCAGCGCTCCTTTGCTCAGACGCCATAGGGTTCAGCCGTTTCCTCCCACTTCCTGTGGCTGAGGACCTGGAGGGGCAAACCGAGATGGTGGGCAAGATCAATTTCCCGCGTCCCATCATCGAAAAACTGGATCCCACCATCATCAATGACCCTTGGAGGGCAAAGCCGAGTGGGAATTCCTTTGAGTACCTTCCAGATCTAAAAAGATCTCCTTAAGGATGTGGGGCTATCGCGCTACGTGAGCTTCTGGGGCCTTTACTTTTCAGAGCCCAGCTGCCAAGCGAGTCATCTGGAATCGATCCAATTTGTTCCCCGGCCAGACACAGCGCGACTCTGGCGACTCCTTTTTCTTTTGGGGCTTGCTTTGATACAAAATAAACTAGCACAGCAAGCCAGTTCCTTTTTCGATCGTGGTGAGTCTTGGCTTTGAGAGGAGCTGAAAAACGTGGGTTTCGTGGGGCCGTCGGCTGTCTCCAAGGTGAGCAATGACACCTCCACGCAGATCACCGTGGGCGAGTTTGCGGCTGCTTGCGTCATCTCGCTGCACAATAGCACCTACCTACAATGCGACACTCAGCCAAAAAGGTCTCAGACGGAATGATTTGTGACTGAAAAGGTCTGGTGGATTCTGGTGGAATGATTTTCTACAACGCAATGTTCGTGTGTTTCGAGGGAAAAACTGATCCTTTTCGCACTGGATTCCTGGCCAATGCTCATGTCAATGCTGAATTTCAGGAATTAGGCTAGAACCTGTAACCTGCGATAGGCCCCCTCAAAAGCGAAAACCTTGCTGCGTTTGGGCAGACGCTCATGTGGTCTTTGGATCGCTCCCGCACTGAGATGGTCACCGGTGCAGTTCGCAATGTGCGCGACGTGGCGGACACCAGCAGCCTGGTGCCACCGGCCTTGCTCGAAGACACGCAGACCTTCACATGGACACTCTGTGGCATCTATGTGCCGTTGAACGAAGACTCCACAGGCGAGGGGCGATATGCACTTGATGCACTTGGAGAGCCATTCTTGCTTTGATTCTTGCAAAGGCATGAGCGACACCAAGTCGAAACAAGTGTTCACAGGTGTAATGCTTCATGTCCAACAGTGAACTCTTGACTTTGCGATGGCCTCCAACCTCA